CTAAGGCCAATTTTGGGTATGGTACTTTTTTGCGATTTCGATGACGCACGCAATTTTAAAGCTTGACATGTTTGGTTTCTTATTTACCCGACGTCTTGTATATTTTACCAAAAATATGGGTAATAATGTTTCATAAAGTCTAGGACTTTTTTTTTAAATTTTTTGGTACTTTTTTCTTTATATAATACAAAATAAAAACCCCAGTGGTGATTAAATACCAGCAAAAGAAAGCTCTATGTGTCCACAAAAAATTATACAGGTATTCCTCACTTAACGACCGAGTTCCGTTCCTACGACCAGGTCGTTAAACGAATTGGTCGTTAAGTGAGGAACTCTATACAGTACTGTACTGCATTAGTACAGTACTGTATAGCGTTGCCGATGTACAGTACTGAACAGTGTACTGTACATCGGGCAATGAAAATACTCACGGGGACGCGCTGTGAAGAACGGAGGACGTCACTTCCCCCGGTGACACGTCGCTCGGAGGACGGTCGTAAGTGCGAATGGTCGCAAAACAGGTAAGTCGTTAAGCGAGGAGTATCTGTATAACCATTTCGGTTCATCGTTGCATGACTGGATAAATGTCAGAGTACCGCAGTGCTGAATACTGAAAAATGGCCTGGCCAGGAAGGGGGTTTAACACCGCGTCAGCAAGTGAAGACAAAATGTAAATTTTTCAGCATACTGCTAAGACACTATTTATCATCAGGGCTTGAAAAATCCACTCGTCCGCTCGTCTGTGACGAGAGGACGGTGGAGCCCGACGAGCAGCATCCCGACCAGCCTAGAGATGCTCGATCGCTTGTATTAGCAGCAGCTGTCACTGCCGTTGCCGGTCCCCAGATCCGCTGTGCCCGATGCGGCCGGGACCGGCACGGCTCTGTGACAGGAGATCAAAGGGAGATCAGTATACAGTCTCCCTTTGATCTTCTCTCAGTCACTGAATGCAGGAAGTGATGTACATTACATCACTTCCTGCATTCAGTGTCACTCTCCAGCTACAGAAGCTGATGAAGCCGATCTGTGCTTCATCAGCTTCTCTGGGGGTCCCTAGGTGACATTAGGGGTCTTGGAGACCCCTGATATCTCCATAAAGAGGACCTGTCATGTAAATTTGCTATCACATAGGGGGCTTCTTAGCTCCCCATGTAATAGCAATAAAGTTGTGTGTACAAAAAAAAAGTAATACAAAAATGAAAGAATCATTAAAAAAAAATAAAGAAGCATAGAAAACAATTATTTTTAAGTCCCCGCCCCCCACATACACACGCAGATATGAGTCGGGTGCGCCTACGTGCGAAAACGACGATTGCGCCTATTATGCTGCACATGTTACATATCGCAGCAAACGTCGGAGTGTGAGCAATAATTGTAGGACCATTAATCACTGATAACACTAAACTGATGAGCAGTAAAAGTGTTTTAAGCGTCGCCTATGGGCATTTTTTGCGGGCGCACGCAATTTTAAGGATTGACATGTTTGGTGTCTATTTACCCGACGTGATACCGACTTTTATGTTTTACCAAAAATATGGGTAAGAATAAATGTTTTATAACATAATGTAGGGAAACTTTTTTTTTTTTTTACATTTATGATGGTACTTTTTTCATTATATAGTAAAAAATAAACTTAAAGCCCAATTCTTGGTTTACCAAAGAGCGGCAGTCTCAATACAGCTGTCTGGACATCAGGGTTATTTTTAGTTATGTGCTATGGGTGGGTGAATTAATCTGATCACCCAGCAGCTCTGGTCATCTGGCAGAGCATTTGCTGCACTTGGGGTACCAGCTCCACTAGTCTAATGCAAACGTTTAAATGGAGGGGCCTCATTATTCTCATTATACAGGATTGATCTAGCGCCAGCAGTTTGCACAGCGCTTTACAATATAAAGGAAGACAGTAAAGGGCGCTGGTGCTGGTCACATGATCAAATGCCAGGGGATTTCTGCTGAAGGAGATGATCAGGGTTCAGCAGAGGTGCTGAATGACCTCCCCTGTCAATTCATCAGTCTCCTTAATGCCTTCCGCACTAATCATGTGAACAGTTCTTCATCTGATCGGTCATGTGACTGCCATTTGAGGGAGCCCATTGGAGTGATTACTCGGGGGAAAAAAGGCTTTAGGAGGTATGAATCTGAGGAAGCAGTTTGCATGGGGATAGAAATTTGTGATTTTAGTATAATTCTGCTTTAACAGACATAAAAGCTTTATTTACACCTGCGCTGTGGGTGCATGTTTTCGTTACAGGAAGCTGGGACACTTGCAAACCAAAACCATCTAGCTAGCCCTGCCTCATAATTATCATGCCTCAGTTTTTGGCTAGTGTCTTAGGAGGTGGAATGTCTTCAAGTCTGCGGGGAAAAATAATCTAACTTTATTTTACTAGCCTTTTTATTTTTATTGATTTTTTTCTTCAATCAAGATACTTAGTACACCATAGCTGTTCATTTTCTTTAAAGGAGAACTATGGGGTCAGTGTTTTCCCCATAGTTCTCCTTAGGGTAACGGGAGGGCACAAACTAACGTCCTCCCGTTACCCTAAGCTCAGTATACCGCGAGCTACAGCTCGCGGTATACTAAGACGCCGGAGTAGATGACGGGATCCGCCCAGCTGCGCGAGTGACAGCAGGCTCTGCCTATCTAGAGGCAGAGCCAGCTGTACCCGCCCCCTCCCCCGTCCATTCCGCCAGTCAGCGCTGGCAGATCGGAGCCGGGAGAGGGGAATCCAGCCCTCCCCCTGTCACGGCAGAGAGCCGTGACAGGATCGAGAGGTGAGCGAACCTGGTATGTGTTCGCTCACCTCCCGCTATACTGAGCCGACCTGTGACAGTCTCATTGTCGCAGGTCGGCTCGAACTATGAGGTGAGTGGAAATCACTCATCTCATAGTTCTCCTTTAATGCTTCCAATGAAGACTTCAGAAGCGCTGTTGGAGCTCGTCTTTACACAGATTGCTTTCCAAATCCCTTTTAAATGATGATCCACACATTAAAGAGTTGAGGGTTCAGCTCACGACTGCCCCTCCTTGGAAAGAAGTATCCATCTATTTAGAAGGTCCTGATCCTGGGCTTTCACAAGGCAGGGGAATAGTGTATGTCTGGAGGCCTTTGTAGGCCCTGGTCACCAGAAGATGGGCCCTCTTTCTATGGCCGAGCATTGGTCTTCTGTGGAAGTCTCCTTAGATTTCTTCATTTTTCATATTCTCTGTTCAATACCAGCATCCCTACTCCTCAGTGGAGCATTCTGCTTTTTCAGGGGTAGGTTGGATGATTCTTATAATCCTATATTTGCTTTCTGGATAGGCAGGCTTGTAGTGTGGCTTTAATACCACAGAAGCACCTATGGGTGTTGGTTGGAAGGAGTCCAATAAAACCCTTCTCATGCTTATTTTTAGATGTTATGCAGGGCTCTCGCATCCATGGCCATCTCAAGAGAATAGTTGTCTAATCCATATAATCTCATCAGCTGTTTGTTCACTGAGTCTGGTTTTTTTTTTTCCCCTCTGGAAATTGTTCCAGTAAACATTTATTTTTTGTTTACCACATTATTTTTGTTGGTCTGGTTTTCTACCATTTTGGATAGTGTGGTGTTTTTGGTGGAAGGTTGGTTACTCCTTTACTTTGCTGAATGAGGCCGGTCACTCTGTCAAGTAGCAGTTTCCCCTTAGCGGTGATTATCTGTCCTAGTCTGGAGTACCAGATTGATCCTTTGTGCCCTCTCTTTGGTCATAGCAATTTCCATATTGATTTGGCCCTTTAGCCTTGATTTCAGGTGTTGATTTCTTCTTTTGTCACATTATTTCCATGTCTGTTGGATCTTCAGTGGTTGTCGAGGTGTTTTGGGGCATCTATCACAAGTGGGCAACATGAGATGTGGATTTCCAGGTATCTGGCTTCAACAAAAAGGTTGACAGGTTCGTGGCTAGGACCAGAAATCTTCAGGCCTTTTGACTTGGGCGCAATAGTGACCATGTGGCATCAAAGCTGTTCTATACCTTACCTCGGTTACAGATTTTTCCTAGACTACTCCTCAGGGTGGAGATATAGGGTGTTACTGTGATTCTGATGATGCCAAACTGACCCAGAAGAAGTTGGTACTCGGACATCTTCATGGACTCTTCCTGACTGGCCTAACCTGTTATCTCAGGGGGGCAGTATACCATCCTGCTTCTCAGTCGCTGGCTTTGGCTGTTGAAGCCCAGGTACTAAGGATCCAGAGTCTGTTTGGCTCAGTTATTCCTATGCTTTTGAAGGCTAGGAAGTTGACTTGAAAAGTCTGTCATCCCAGACATTACTGGGCTGTATCCTTTCATTTCTCCAATCTGGTCTGTACCAACACTTTGCTTTAGGTACCCTCAAGCGCCAGATCTCAGCCTTGGCTATTCTTTTTTCAGAGACCGCTTGCTGTTCATTCTGGTGAAAACCTTTGTACAGTGGGTGGCTCATGTTGCTCCCTCCATTCATTCCCTGGTGTTGCTGTGCGATCTTAATCTGGTCTTGTCAGCTCGCCTATGGCCCTCTTTTCGAGCCCTTTAGGAATATGCCCTTGGCAGACCCTACTCGTAAGGTGGACTTCGTCGTGACTATCATGTCTGCAGGACGCATTCTAGAATTGCGGCCGTATCCTGTAAAAAGGCCTTTCTAATATTTCGTAAGGAAAAGGTCTCAGGCCTCCTTTCTTCCAAAGGTGGTTTCTTCTTTCCACCTTAATTGGGACATTGTCGTGCCTCTGCTTGCATGATGGGGGGGCCATACAGGGGCTGGCTTAAATAATGAATTGTAAAAATATAAGAATTAATACTTGCAGTGGGGCTGCACTGCAAGGGTTAACTGCTCATTTTGGTGTAGGGGCTAAAATAAAATATACTTGCCTGATCCTCGGTCCTGCGGAGGTGAACGCTCATCTCTCTCCCCCCTCCCCTGCGGTGGTGAAATATACATCGGCAATGCAGCTGCATTAGTGGTGATGACTCATGGGTGCTTAGACTGCCGGAGACCATGAGAGATGAGGCTGCGGAGACCGAGACCCAGGTGAGTATTTCCTCTTTATTTTACCCTCTTCACCAAAATGAGCACTTAACCCTTGTAGTTCAGGAGTTAGCCCCACTGCAAGGGTTAATTATATTTCTTGTAGTTCTTTATTGTTTTTTGTTTTGTCAGTGTCTCAACCTCCTATAGGTAGCAGTATAACCCAATTCCTAAATTTGTGTGTCCCACAATAGACTTCAAAATAGATTTTTTTTTGGGGGGGGGGGGAGGAGTGGGTGGGGGGGGAGTGCAAAATTCCTTATTTTAGATGTTACCATTGGAACATGCAATATGCATTTTGCTGCAAAGTGCAATCAAGATGTTTTTTAGTGCACGGCACCCACATCAAGTTTAAAATATGCAGATGTAAACAGAGCAAAAGGAAACTGTCCAGTAATAGGTAGGCTTCATTCTGGGCGATGCCACTGGTCTCAAGTGAATGCATAGACTGCAGTCTCATCAATATGGATAGGCTGCGTTCTCAGTGAGGTCACTGGTTGCTAGTGAATGGATAGTCTATGTTCTCAGGTATCTCATTGGTCACTAGTTATTAGAAAGGTTGTGTTCTCATTGATGTCACTGGTCTTTAGTGAATGGATAGGTGGCATAAACCATCTCTACTGGATTCATGACCATAAACCAGGGGTACATCATTGAAAAGCTTGTGTGAATAAGCCATTTGTTTAAATTTTCATTACCATGTTCAAAGTTGCTATATGGTTGTTTTTTATGGAAAATAAACAGTTGCTGCTGAAGGTAAGAATTATCTTGCTAAACACTGTACTGGTTTATTCAGGTCTAAAGCGAATCCCAAACAATCATTTGTTAAGCATTTATTTGCCATGTACCCTTTTCCTATAATTGGTATGATCCATGCCAACCTCCTGATCCGTGCCACTTTTGCAAAACCTTTGTGTCCATTGCCGTGCTTCTAAAGCTTTTATAGGATCTGTGTCACATAAGCCCGTTCCACTTTGCTTTCCAGTCAAGCGTCACCAGGCGATGACTCTCGGGACCCCAGGGAGCTCACCTTGCTTCGTAATTACTGGGAATTAGCACGCATGGATAATTTTGTCCACTTCTCCATTGTGCGATTTTTCTGTTTGTAAATCTGATTCCTCTTTTTAAAAAACGCGAACCTCTGTGCTCCGTGACCCCGCTTCAGCTAACAGCTTTTTAGCTGCTTTTATTGCATTAAGTCAACGCAGTGATTGTGTCTGGTCTTTGTAGAACATACAAAACAACACTTTCACATTGTGAGGTCAGCGCTGAGGAGGGAGACCAGAGGTTTGTGGCGCGACGGAGAGAGATATCATCATTAGTCTTTTTAAATTATATTTCATTTTGTAAAAATGTAATTTGGAGGGCCAGAAAGTTGGCTTTACTCCTTGTTGTCTTGACCCATTGAATGGAATGTTATTTTGAACCGTGCTAATGAAATGTTCAGGCATGGTCAACTGCTGCTGCTATCATGAAGCTGGTCCAGAGCAATGTTGGGCAGCCGATGCTGGAGCGAGTGCATTTAGACAGGAACTGACTGAGAAAGGCTGGAGGAGATCAGCAGCACTGAGATGCAAAAAAAAGATGTGAAAACTGTATTTTATTTTAAAAAAGGCAATTGCTAAACAAAATGGCTTTTCAGTTAGGCCTCATTCACACAGCTTAGAGTCATCCCGTACAGATCCGTGCAGCGTGTACGGCCGTATCAGGCCGTTCCCCGATAAGGACAGGTGCTGCATGTGATTGTACGCAGCAGACTGTTCTTCCCTATGGGAGGACGCGGCCGTACGCTCACCCAAGCGCCACACCCTTGCGGGTGTCCCTACTCTAACACAGACAGGATCGATCCTGTCTGCGTCCGAGCATGGACACCTGCACGGATGTGCAGCTCGGGTGAGCATACGGTCGCATCCTCCCATAGGGAAGAACAGGCTGCTGCTTACAATCACACACAGCAACTGTCCTTCCCGTGAACGGCCCGATATGGTCGTGCACACCGCACGGATCTGTACGGGCCAACACTTAGCTGTGTGAATGAGGCCTTTAGATCTACCACCCAGCTTTCACATATATGTAATCGGGTGGTTGTAGAGTCACCCGATTACTTGTGTGCCGCAGAAGGTTGTCCTATGATAGCAATAAACTTAAACCTCCGCCCCACGTACATTCACATACATCGCTGTGTACATTGGAGTGAAAGTAATGATTCTGGGGCCATCACTCATTGTTAACTCTAAATTGATAAGCAGCAAAGGCTTTTAAAGCATCGCCTGTGGGCAATTTTGGGTACCATAGCACAATGTTAAGGTTTGACATCTACATGAATCGGCATCTATGTACGCAACGCAACCCCATCTTTGATATTTTACAAAAAAATGGGTATTCTATTGTATTGGTGCGCACTAAAATTCATTTTTGTTTATCTTTTCCTAAAAATATTGATTTGATAAATTGCAACTAATATTTTTCTATTCTACAGGGCTTCGGCTTTCAGAAAATATTAAATTTTTGGGGGGTTTTAAGTAGTGTTCTAGCCAAAAATGTATATATTAACATACTATATATAAAAAAATTGCTCTGGTAGTCCAGTTGTTAAAAAGCAATTCCCGCTTCTCAGCCTTTTGGCTAAGATCAAGTATAGTATCTGTTCTTATGAGTTTCCGGTGAGGAAAAGAACCGTCCTTTCGGGGGGATGATTACTTAGTACTCGCTGGAGTGAAGGTTCGTGCCGGGCTGCTTCTTGTGAGAGGGGGACAGACTTGGTATACGGCCTCCTGATGTGGACGGGTGCTTGCTTGGTCTGGCCGGAGGGTTCGGGGGGCGGCAGACGTCTGTGGTGCTGTGCCCCAGGGGGTGGCGTCCCAGGGGCACAGCACGTTCCATGCATTTTCTCCACAACGCCTCTTGGACAGGCCTTATGGCTAGTCCAGGGCAATATTTTTGCACTCCGGCCCTTAAGGCCTGTCAGCGTGGTGCACTGGCACTTAGTATTATTTATGCACACTTCTTCACCTTTTTTTTTTTTTTTTGGTTGGATTTGACCTTCACAGAAGACGAAGGGTGTGGGTACCTTCGGGGCCCTTTCCTGACGTTGGGGAGGAGATTCTGGGGGCCCCCGTCTCCTCCCACCTGGGGGGGTCTCTCTTCGGGAGAGCCCCCAACCTAGTACTTGTGGGACCTGTTTCGGCAGGTCCCAGAGGATCGGGGTCCGCCGGCCTTCGGGTAGGTGGATCAAAGTCATCCTAGCCACTGTCAGGAGCCTTGCACCCCAGGGGGTCAGGAAATTGTGGCCCTTTCTCTTCGGAGAAGGTCCAAAAGCACCCTTGTGCACTTTTTTCAGTGTGATTTCACGATTCACTTTGTTTGTTCACAGGGGATTCGGTTTCGAGCACGCTCCACGGGCTTTAATAAAATAAAAAAAATAAAAAAGCAATTCCAGGTAATAACTAAAATCAGTCATTGAGCTACTAATCCCTGACCTGCTAAAGAGAAGGTCCACTTAGAATTCCTTTGCAGCCAGATTTCACACAGCTGCTCCCATGTGAGATAGATTTGGCTACTACCTATAGGCGTTGTTGTGTAGCCTTCTATCTTTCTGCATTATGTGTCGCCAATCAAATTTGAACGTCCAAAGCTAGAAGATTGAGAGAATGTTCTTCATATTGCCATTTTAATATATATGGCATTCTTGGTGATAGCCGGCAAGTGGGTGTGGTTTGGAATATTTCTCCTGTAAGCAAAAGGGGTTCCCAGATTACTGACAAAAGAAAGTGGGGTGCACTATGCAGCCCATAGACCGATTTTCCTGTATGAACTTCATGACCCTATTTTCATCCATGACTGGAGTGTACCTTTTTAATGGGGTTATATTATGTGGCCATTTTAAACAATAGTGGAGCTTGGTAGATTTATTCGGATTTGTCTGCCTGATAGATGGATCCATTCTTCTACATGTGTGCAAAATGAACAGATTCTTTTCAGTGCTAAGCATTGTGAAAAGCACTCTGCAGGGTAACGGTAGCATGATCTGTAATTATCGGGCACACTTTAACATTTTTTTTTTCTCTTGAAAGCATTTCTGTTGCTACCCATGACCCCCGCTGATGACATGACTTTTCAACCTGATTTATACAGTACGTGCGCACTGTGCCAGTAGAATGCATTCATTTCTTGAGTGCCTTCATTCTTGAGGTTGTGCCTTGTAGCTTCAAATGCCCCGGCTATTTATTATAATTATTATTAATTTGATTATTATACATTCTTTACAAATAAAAGGAATTTGTTGTAGATGATATCTGCTTGAACAGGACACTGACACCAAACTGTAATCAGTACAATATGGACATGATTAGGATCCTGCACACATTGGCATCTCCCACTATTGAAGTGCGCCTGTCAGGCTGGGCTACTGACATTTAGGTTTTTACATATTCTTAACATGCAGCAAATCGGCCTTAAAACCAGCCTCTACTGGACTCGGTAGCTGCGGACACTGTGGAGCAATTCATTATCATTTCTCTCTCATGACTTGGCAGCCTTCCAAACTTTTAATGCAAAAACAATGCATCTGTTCTTTGTGTTGGAAGACTACCAAGCCAGTGCTGATAAAACAGCTGAGATAAAGCTGCTATGTATACAGCTACCACCTGAGCAGAGTCCATTTATTAAATGTTAGGATTATTTGCTAAAAAATGCTTTTAGCTACAGTCCTGTGGCAGGAATCCCAAATCGCACATCCACGCATAGTGTGAATGGAGCCTTAATTCCACCCACATCCCCCGGCAGCAATAATAATGTCCTTCCCATGGTATCAGGGGAGCTCTGTCAGGTAGGCTGTGTTGCATTACGTTATGCATACGTTTTGTTTAATTTTTACACTAAGGTATGTAAGGTATTGGTTCTGCTTTGCATTGATGTGTGTCGCATTGACACGCATTACCCACGCGTGCTGAAAAAAATTAGAGCCTGCCCTACTTGCTTTCCAAAGTCCATCGACTTAGTATCCGTTTTGTATAAGGCCTTAAAGGGTGCAGATATTTTTTTTTTTCAATTCATGGGGAAAATCTTATTTTTTTTTTCTTTTTTCAGGAAATTAAAAATCGTACAAATGCCTTTTTAACACTTTGGGGTCTCTTTATTAAGTGTATTTGCACGACTTTCACCCAATATTCACACGGTTTTCAAATTGGATGCCACTGGGAAAATGTGTAAATCCTGTGTAAAAACATTTATAAATAGACCCTTTTGTGGGGGGGGGGGTTTGTTATAGGTACAGGTTACACGCCAACTATACTGTTTGGAGACAAGTCATGATTTCTGCTAAAAAATTTCCCTCTTCACCAGGTTCATTTAAATGCGTTAACAGCAGCCAAACTAGTTGTACACAACAAACGCAGTTACCTAGAGGGGAAAAGGAATAGCTTGACAGGTCCTCCACTTAATTGCTTTTGTACTGTCAGTCAAGTGGGGTGTTCCATAGCTTGGCTGAACTTCTAAGCACCGCTGCCACACACGTAAAGATGAAACGATACTTTAACATGGCAATGCTGGTCAAAACTTGTGAAGTCTTCCAGCTAATCTGTTGGTAAGAGTTGAAACGTCTCTCTCGTACAGAATTCCTCTCCACCCTTCAGTCGCTCTTCATCATACTTTTCAACACTTCTTTTTTTTTTTTTTTACCTCCTCTTAACAGACGACAACAAGGGAACTTTGTTTTGATTTATTTTTGTATCCGCGCTCCGTTAGCGTGATTTGTTGTGCGCTGCACAATAGAGTTGGCTAACTTAATTCACAAGTCATGTTATTTTAAATGATTGTCAGTGATGCATGAATTAAAAAAAAAAAAAAGGACACTTTATGATCCAGTTGTATGTAAATATTATCCGGGCACACCACTTAAATTATTACTTTTTTGCCCCAAAAGAATACACCAACTCTGCTATGAAGAAAAAAAAGTAACATTGACACGTTTTTCTCCGTTCACAGTTCATTTGCTGGATTTAGTTATCGGTTTCTGAGATTATGTAAATAGATGCCAAATATTTCGATGTATGCAAACCCACATGGGCATTCCAATCGGGTCTGCTTGTCCGTTTTTCAGGTGGACCCGATCGAAAGCCCAATGTTAATCTATGAACGGCCGCGTGTAAGGATATGGGCATTCGTTTATACCCGGGCTACCCCCGACTCCGGCCACGTATGGGAAAGCAATTGGAACGGTGTTCCACTTCAACTGACCTGATCATGCCAGATTGGGCACATGTCCATTTACATCTGATTCCCTTTAGACCAGGGGTAGCAAACCTCCGGCCCTCCAGCTGTGGTGGAACTACAAATCCCATGAGGCATTGCAAGATTCTCACAGCCACAGACATGACTCCCGAAGAGAGACGCATCCTCGGATTTGTAGTTTCACCACAGCTGGAGGGCCGGAGGATTGCTACGACTGCTATAGACAGACATGGGGTTCGGTCATTTCAGTCTTATCCTCCATCGCGAGATGGAGGAAGAAACTGGATGGACACAGATGTCACAACGGTAACATCCGATCTGTACCACCCTGATCAGGAGGAGATCCGTGTATTGATTTCCTCCTGATCAGCTTGTGTGAAAGGGGCCTTAAAGTGGTGGTGTGCTCAGAATAAAAAAATGGACATATGATGGTGTTTACCACTAACATTAAATTTAGAACTGAAGACAGAAAAATGTTTTTGGATTTGAATAAAGTATGGTTATAACCCATGTTTGCTTTCTTTCTCTCTGTCCCATTGGGGAGATTTCCCTTCACTTTGTATCTGATGGCTACAACAGGGAGTGAGCGGAAATCCCTGGTGGTTATCAGGGTCACCAGAGCTAGCGCCCCCATTGGAAGATTTCCCATTGTGTCTACAACACACACTTTTGGAACTTTATTTCACTTTCATTGACAACAGTCACCAATAGAGGGTGTGAATCTCCCTAAGGGGGATACAGACGGCAATAAAAAAAAATCTGCCGGGGGCACTAATCCCTCACCACTCTATCCAAAAGTAGAACAGGTTTTGACTTCAGTTGCACTTTAATACAGCGGTTTTTGGTTTTCTAAGTCCACCCATAGCATTTTTTGTATTACCTGTTGATCCTGCCAGTAGATCTGTTAGTATTCCACTCCCTGTATTTTTTTTTTCCTCTGCAAATTGAAGCACTCTGCAGAGGTAAGGACTTTCTAACATAATTTAAGTATGGTGCCCGAAGTCCAGCTTTACCTATACAAGTTCTAAAATTTTGCAAAGTTTCTATAAAGCCTTTTCCATTATGCTTTTTTTTTTACTTTTTCAAATCTTTCAAATCCTATAAAATAGCAGGTTGTGATCAAAGAAAAGTTGCATATCAAAGTTCTTCCCTTTTATTCAATCACAACTTTGTAAATATTACATAATTCAAAAGTTTGGCGGTGTATATGGAGACCGTACATACATTGTGTTGCACTGTCCTCCTGTAAGGTTGGATTATTATCGTGTTCTGTTTTGGTTTATCTCAATATTTGCTTGTTTTTTTTCTTATGTCTATCACTTTATTGAGTCTTCAGTGTGTTTTGTAATTTTGTAGTTGACCTCATTGTCTTGTTTTCCAGGCTGGAGGCTCGCAGGTCATTTTCACCAATCCGCTGGAAATTGTGAAGATCCGTTTGCAAGTAGCTGGAGAGATTACTACTGGCCCCCGTGTCAGTGCCCTGACTGTTCTCCGAGACCTGGGCTTCTTTGGCCTTTATAAGGTATTGTAATTAGGAGACCTGTGTGGGTAAAGACATAGAGGGCAGTCTGAAGGTCAATGTTTAGCTGCCCATATACTGTAATATTTTATTTGTTTAACCCGCGGGCTGAACAAAGAAATTATTATAGGTTCCTCCATCAACGCTTAAGAGCTTTGATCGAGGAATCTCCTGCTGTTTGCTTTGCACCACCGTCAGAATACCTAATAATTGTGGTACATTGTGATTCATAATCGAATAATTGTCCGGTTTATTTTTTTCAACGAATCGATGATGAGAATAGTTGCCAATTATTCTCATCGATTACCATCAATTTAATCGATTAGTTGCAGCCCTAGTTCAAAGATTTTCCACCAGCTCCTTTGATCAGCTGATAGAGGGATGCCAGCCACTCTGCGAATGGTGGCCGGTTCATCAAGAAGTGGACGGAATTCATGTAGTGTATGGCCAACTTTACTAAAAATCTCAATTTTTTATTGGTTTCATTTGCTTTATTTTTTTGCTTATGAGATACATTTTCGTGCTTTGTTCCTTATGTAATATTTAATCTTTTTATATACATTTTTATATATGTATGTATGAATTGCATATGGCACTGTAAAATGACAAATATGTATCCTGTGTCCTTTGTGTGCGTCTACAGGTAAAACTCGGGGTTAATTACTTTACAAAGTAGAAAGGGTGGCGGGCACAGAAGCTAGATGATCAAGAAGTGACTGGCTGCCTATTGTTTACAACCATTGACTCCCAAATAACAATTCCGCATGCCAAATAATTTCTAGACCTGTAAGCTATGAGAAATAAATGGAGAAAGGAGGTAGGAGCTCCTACAGGTGCCAGGAGCATTAAATAACCCTGGCAGACAAGGTGCACCTCTGTCTTGTATAGCTGAAGCCTTCCCTCTTCAGTCTAGCATTTTTTTCCTCCCCCCCCTCCCCTTTCACCAGACAATGTGCATTCACTGCAGGAGACTGGCCTAAGCCTGAGTCTCCCAGACCTGCTGGCTCCTTCTGCCCAACCCGACACAGAGGTGCCTTTGTCAGCGTAATTACTCTCCTGTTGTTGTAGAAATGGTTGTTTAGTGCTGGGCTTGCAGGTTGGGCTGTAATATGCAAGAATTAGCATGCTAAAGAGAGCTCTCTAGCCTCGTGGGTATACTGTTCGTCCCATGTTTCCAGTACCTGCCTGGAATGTCCTACCTGTTTGACAATAAAGTAGGAGAATTACCCTTCACTTTAAATCATTTTATTTTTGTAGTAAGAGAAACTGGAGCAATGTTTGCAAAATATGTTTTTTGTTTAATTATCTGCAAACACAGAAAAGTGAAATAAATGCAAAATATAAAACACTTCAAATTGATATTTTAGTGGTTGGTAGGTGGGGAGGTAAACCATGTGACAAGTTTCTAGCTCCTGCAGATGATGCTTCTTTACAGGCTTGTAGGGTCTTTATGCATACCACAGCCATTACAAGGGGGTTCCAACTTTCCCTATTTAAATAAATTGTTCATGTGTTTTTAAAAATTAAAAATACTTGCCTTGTTCCCAGTGCTCCCTGCTGCAGAAACACTGCGCTGCCACTGGTGCTCTTCCAGGGTTTTTGATGGCCAGCGTCATTCAGCCTACTTCCTGTGAGCCCAAGCAGTCGGGGACCAGCCCTCTGGGGTGTGTGTGTGTGTGTGTCTCTATGTTGGCCTAGGTTCACAGCACAATACTGCAGAAAGCAGCACTGGTATCATAATGCCAGCTCCACTCTATGCTGTATTGAAGACAGCGCACTGCTTCTGTAGGGAGGTACAAAGAAAAGCCAAGGCCATCATGTGACCTGGCAGAAGACCCAAGGCAAAGACATGTAAAGGAGATTTAAAAAAGTATAGGTGGGTGTCAGATTTAATACATTTAAAGGGCCTTTACCCAAATCTTTGAAATTACAACAAACACACCTTTAGAAATGTTCAGTAATGACCATCTACAAACAGATACTTCTAGATAATTGCCGCCTTTTTATTCTATGCATACCTTTTTATTTTTTTCCCTCTCCATTCTCACAGTGGCCATTTTTACTAAGGTGCAGATTAATCTATCTCCCTTCACTTCCTGGAACTCTGGGATATGTGACCATGCACATCATCTCAGGGGAGGAAAATGCCTTTCCCTGAGATCTTGGATTTCCCAGCAATGCTCTGCTGATATTACCTTCCCAGGATGCAACGATTGGGCACAATATGTCAGTCATGCCCAAGAGGACCAGGAAGTGGAAAAACATGTTTAATAATTGTAAAATACGTTCATACCAGCATGCAGAGCTGGTATGAACTTCATGTTAAATGCACCAAGAAAAATAACCTTTCACCCCACATAGTATAGCAACACCCAAAACCTACAAATAGTCTCCTCTAGAGCCCCCTAGAGATTTAGGAAGCCAGCAGGTGACTCCAGCCCACCACACCCCGCTTATAACTATATATAATTTTTGTATGGGCTCCTAGGCCTTTAAGACATGTCTTGTGGTCTTTTATTTTTTCAATTATGAATCCGACCAAAATCCTCGGCAAACCTCCAGCCTTTATATGCAGGTTTCTGAGAAGCTGTTGGTTTATCTCAGCCCATTCCCTTATTTTATGCTGGGAAAATAGTGATTACATGGAAATTCTCTTCCTCGCCAACATAAGGGGCTATTGCGAAGTTTTCTATCATTTTATTTTGCAGCAAGTTATTGAATACACCAAGGAGATGTACTGAGGCATTACAGACCTTCAGAGTGCTGCCGGGTTTTTCCACATAAAGTAAATTAAAGTGGCTACAGAATGATTACTTTTAAAATGGAGATCTCCATCTCTTCTAACAGAATGAGCCTACACAAGTCCGCTCATTCTCCTGAAATGTGGCATCTCCCATTACTATGAATTCATATACAGTATGTATGATTGTATATTAGAATCTACTAAGCAGGTAGGCAAGCTTGGCACTCTAGCTGTTGTGGAACTACAAGTACCATGAGGTATTGCAGGACTGACAGCCAGAGGCATGAAGCCCAGAAGCATAATGGGATGTGTAGTTTCACCACAGCTGCAGTGCTGTGGTTGCCTACCCCTGATCTAGTGCCTAGACTGTTCAATAGACTTTGTCGTAGTAAGGCCCCGTTCACACTATCACGTTGCATTCATTCAATTAACATTCGATCTGAGTGGCAACCTGAATGCACCTTACTGACAGACTAAAGGGCATTGCAGTGCACTGCTGAAACCGCTGGATGTACAATTTGTGGTACATTGTGATGCATTGAGCAATAAATTCAAACTAATGGCCTGCCCAAACACAACACATGATAATGGACCGTAGTGGACCAGGTTTGGGGTGAATGGGCCCTAACCTGAAAACACCTACTTACCCTTCCTTCTTGGACACTGCATGCCTGAGTGCACTTTTGACACTTTTAGTCTGGCAGATTGATTGGATAGGTTGTAAAAAACTGATAAGCCTTTTGTCAGAGCAGTCGAACGACTCCAAGAGAATCATTTTTGACACTGAAGATGATCAGATTTTTGCAGGTAAATGTAGTAAATTTTATAGTGCTGGATCGCTGGAGGTAACTGAATTAACATCTGCATTTGACAGGTTCTCTCTTGTAGTGAATCTGTCACTTGGCCTATTTAGAGGAAAGTGACAGGTTCTCTCGATGAAACCCTCTAAGCCACCTATTCTCACCTTATCTGCATCCCCCCTACCTGTGGTGTGTGGCCTATCAAGAGAAATATAATTTTTCATGAATGGGCATTTAATACCATTGATGGCTCAGTTGTACTGCCACCATTTCATTATAATGGCCGACACGTAAAGCACAGAAAGTAAAGCTGCTATTGGTTTATGGATGACTGGCTTTTCTTTCTTATGATTCTGACCTACTCAGCTGGGTGGGTTATTGCAGATTATATTATTTCTTTATAGATGTTATCACTACACCTGCTAGTACTTCCTGTAGGAATATCATCTTTTTACACATCAGCCCAGAGTATAGACTGGTGATGAACTTGTCAGAGTGCCAGCGATTGTTCGGCTTGGTTGGATATAAGCATTTCATCAACCTGGGATGGGACAGTCACTGTATGGATCATGCGCTTTGCTTTCCTTGTGTGTTCCAAGGTCTGTGTGTTTTCCTTTTTAATGGCACTTTTTAAATACCGTGTAACTGTTTTCACCACAGGGCGCCAAGGCATGCTTCCTTCGTGACATCCCGTTCTCTGCTATCTACTTCCCCTGTTATGCCCATTTGAAGAGCACCTTCGCAGCTGAAGATGGCAGGGTGAGCCCTGGCTACCTCCTCCTGGCTGGTGCCATCGCCGGTAAGAACTGGACAAGTCGTAGTTTCTTATTGTTGACTAGAACATTTTGAGATAAAATGGAACGTATGTGAAATAACTCTACTACTGGTCACTGTGTAGATTGTGAATTAAAACTCTGTTCAGAACATTCAAAAATGCCATCAGAGGCTTGTAGAATATCAATCGAAATTGTCCATTTTACCATTTGATTTTATAATGAATGGAGCTTCTCCAACGAAAACCATATCGAACATTTGTTCGAGATTATCTGTAAAAAATAAATCAAGGCAACTGGACTTGATCTATTTTTTTTACGCCGTTTCACTGATCACCCTACAAGCTTTCTCCAATTCAGAATTGAGAAAACTAGTCGGATGACCAGTGAAACGTCCTCAAGAAAAATACAGCAAGTCCAGTTGCCTTTATTTTTTACAGATATACCATGACCTGCATGTGTGAGAACCTTCAAAAAAGACATTTTGTTTGAGATTGTCCATTCCAATCCTTTGATTTCGACCATAGTGATGGAAAAACATAGGTCATCAATTTGGTTCCATTAACTGTTGGAAAATTGAAATGAAAGTTCTGAAAACACATTTTTATGAGCAAAATCCTGCTGGTTCTATGCAAGTTCCTGAGATCTTGCATTTCAGGTCCCGATCTGCCTGGAAGGCGCTGGTGATGTAGCCTTTCCCTTAGGCATCGGCTATTCCAAGAGTGCCTAGAGAAAAGGGAAGGGCAGCAACTATAATTGTAAGTTTACTGTAAAAATGGAATCTTGAAGAGTACAGTGGGTTTGTTGAGCATTCAGAGCTGCATGCATCTCTTATGTTTTACTGTTTAGGGTGTACAGGTCCGTTATGACTCCTGGTGGTGTTTATAAAGCACCAGCATAGTCGTCCAGGCACTGACGGAATCATACAAAGTTACAATAATTCACAAACTTTGAAAAATAACACAAGAATGCCCTTCCTGCTATAGATTGCAGTGGAATTGCTGTAGATTGTGGAGCCATAAGCAGAAATATGTATTTCTGTGTGTGATGAAATTTGACAGCCACAGATGTGTGGTCTGTATAGAAATATGAATGCAGGTATTGATATCTAGGAAAGATATGCAATACTGTTGTCTCATCTACAGTTTGTTTGTTTTTTATTTACAAATTCATTGTTTTGCCCTCTTTTAACCACCATAATCAGTACTGATGGCAGGTTCAGACTCCAGGAAATAAAAACTAACCCCCTTTTTATTGTTCTGGGCTCTGTCAACCTGCTTGATAACACACCGCTCTTAGTTTATCGTTGTAGGTGATAGATGAGCCTTCATAAACATTGCTGGGTGGTCTTTGACATTCCTTTCCTTTATTTTTTATTAGAATATCACAAAATATGTTACACAGAGTACAAGGTTTCCTTATCCAGATGCTGACATGATAATCAGGGTAGGGGTTTTATCGGGATACAGGTATATAGAGCAAGACATACTTGGGTCAGAGAGGAAGATAAAGTGACACTAAACTCGGGTGTTAATTCTTAAAAACACATTCAATTACCTTATCTATGAACAAAAATGTATCTTATTTGTGTATCACTCGGCTGTAGATCTTCAAATCATCTCTGAATTGGTGCTGACACTGTCCTTCCTTCTGGAGGGGGGCTACTTTTGTTCTCCATGGTCCCTGTGTGTGTTGTAAAGTAGTCACTGCTCCAAGCTTGCTCTGATCTGCACATTGTAACATTATCATTGCTTGCTGGAAGCAGTAAATGATGAGATCTGTAGTCTTGACAAACTGAGCAAGCAGCAGGGAAAGAGATGCAAAGCACACTGGGAATCCAGGCAGTTTTTGGAAGTGATGGGCAGACGGAAGGCAGCGCTCACTACTTAAAAGGGATTTTTTTCAAATAAGCTTTGATTGCATTATGAAAAACAACTTTAGTGTGTATTCCTATTACAACGCTGCTGATATATCAGACGAGGATATACTGGGGCTTTACAGGTTCTCTAATTCAGCTGCAGCATTGCCACCCTTTCCTTCACACTCTTGAGTTAGACTACATGCAGCTGTACCAATGCACAGTGCACTGTCAGGTTGTGCTATAGTCCAAAGAAATTGTTTTTTCAGTCTGGTGCTGGAAGGTGCGCACATACGCAGTAACATAAAGGGTTTACTGAATGTGCAAAGCTCAGGGAGAGAAAAGAAATTAGGAGGAAAATTACATTAAAAAAATTATTTTGTCTTACAGAGCTCTATAAAAGGTAACCGTTTAAAGGATAACAATATTTTTCTATAGTTATTCTATAAAGTAGAATTAAAGTCCAATTCCAGGCAGGCATTCTATTTGTAACGTCCGGCACTTGCATGACCGTACGCATGTAAAGCCCATCTTAGAAGAAGAAAAAAAATCCTAATGCACCCCCACCTGCTGCTAGCCAAAAGAATAAATAAAACTTCTGAGACCTTTTACTTATTTAAGTCCGCTGTCATGTGACGATCCATGGCGCTTCTTCGGTGTTCAATAACTGCACACTGCCACTAGAAGCCTTCTGGACCCTATGAGTGGCCTGTGATTGACTCTTAGGACAGCATTGTCAGCAGGAAGCCACTGCAAAAAAAGGACTGTACCACACTACAAACCAGAGAAAAGAATTGAGTCTCCACCTGTCGCATGCCCTGGATTTAAGGTAAGTATTATTATACAGGATTTATATAGCGCCAACAGTTTGCGCAGCACTTAACAATGTAGGGAAGACATTATTATTACAATACAAATCAAGACAAGATGGTAAGAAGGTCTGCGTCCCTGAGGGCTTACAATCTAAAAAGGAGTGGCAAGTGATACATGAGGAGGTAGCTGTGTGGGGATGAATTGTTTGAGAATGTGATAGTTCAGTAGTTAGGTTGAGGTGGGATAGGCTTCCCTGAAGAGATGAGTCTTTAGTGATCGCCGAAAGGCAGTCAGAGTGGAAGATAGTTGGACAGGTTGAGGTAAGGAGTTCCAAAGAATGGGAGAGACTCTAGAGAAGTCCTGGAGGCGAGCATGGGAGGAGTTGACGAGGGAGCTAGAGAGCAGGAGGTCTTAAGAGGAGCGGAGAGGACGGTTATGGTGACACTTTGAGACAAGGTTGGACATATAACCTGGGGCAGAGTTAAGAATGGCTCTGTAAGTGTTTGTTGATATTTTGAATTTTAATTGAATTGAAGTATTTAGGGCATTTAGTTACAAGTACTGCTTGGTGTAGAAGTGATAAAGCCGCTCAAATTACTTCTACATGGAAGCCAACAGTTTGCTAAGGGGGTGTAAACACACTCCCAGAAGCTATGGTAGCCAGCAGTGTGGTCAACGCTCCCTACTGCCCATACTACTTACATATGTTTGTTTTGTTCAACTGGAGATGTGGCGTATCCATATACTATATAGGCATCTACTGTATGTGCTCCCATAGGGGGTGACGCTGTACAGAAGTGCTTGAGGTTTTCCTCTGTATTATGCAATCTGAGTCCCATAGAAGTGTGAGGTGTCTAATAGGGTATGTTTTGCTGGCTAAGTACCTGGGATTTTTAAGCATTTTTGGTGAAGCTTATGACAACTTTGGTATAGGAGTGAAGGGAAGGTGGATATATGCCTCTATTTGGGTTGCTTTGAAAGTGAACCTGTTGCTTTGCCCTACATGAAAAAAGAACATGAACATAGAAGAAATAACGATTTCTGTCTCTTATGTATTGATTAGATTTGATATCCTGATATCCATGATTTTATTATATGATCAGATAGAAACACCCGTAGACTTTGCCTATATGCCGCCTTTTTCCTTGGAACAAAACGAGCCTTGAACATGGCAGCCCGCGTGCAGACGTAAAATCTACATCTACAAGGCGAGCGGCTTCTGAGATTCGGCCTCTCCCTCTGTCTCTTTCAAGCTCCTGATGTGATTGCAGACGCAGATAACTCCCTTTTGAAGTTCAGTCACACAGGCTGCCTTTTATACTTTCATTTCTGTCAGGCTTGCAATCTACAAGGCTGTGAATCTACGTTTCGCTGCACCATTTCCAAACACATCTAGAGATATGAAACAATACATTTCAGATTCTGGAGGAGGGGGAGAAGGAAAGCCTTCTCCTTTGTGGCATATTATCGTAATGTAATACATGGCCCCTGAAATGTCAACCTGCCTGACTTAAGATTGTCATCTGCACTTCAAGGCTTTCAGCGTCGCAGCATTGTGAGCTTGGGCTATTAAGGTACCGGAAGAAGGGGGGAAAAAAAGCTGAAATATGAAACTATAGAATTGGCATGAGTTTCCATGTCGGCTAACAGGGCATGGTGGGACTTGATGTTGTATTGTATAGTTATATTGTATAGTGGGCCCACTTCCACTTTGGGAACTGGGCTATGGTGTTAAAATATTGTTTTACTATTTTTTTATTTTTGTGGGGGGGGGGGGGGGGGGTTTATTTTTTGT